GTTCCCCGAACATTCCCGAACATTTCTTAAATCACCCATAGCTCTTTGTTGTCTCTACCACTTTCTGAAACCAATAGTCCGTTAGAACCCTATCGGAATAACGTATCCAATTCATTATCCCATTAGAGTTTCTGACTACGTTTCAGGGGGCTGAGTGTAATTATCGATACCACAGGGACCTTACAGTTATTTAAGCTTACCTCAGGGGTGTGTGTGTAATTTACCCTATTAACTATATTACTATGGCTCTGTAGATGTTAAACCCATTGAAATATATCGAGTGATGATAACCACAGATCTACATATAATAATACATTCACCCATGTATATTTATGCTTAGACCATAAAAATAAATATGAAATGCTATTTGCGGTCACAAAATTGCTATTCGCGGTTTATAACAAAACCCCCCAAAACTTTTAAAAATATCAAAAAACCCCCCAAAACTGCAAATAGCAAAAAAAAAAACAAAAAAAGAATTCGAAAATTCGAAATCAAGCTTGAAGAAGGGTTGGGCTTCAATTTTTTGATGTTATTTCGACTCTTTTATGTGTAATATGCATTGGGTAGGTCGATTACGGAACCAATTTCATGTTAAAAAGCCCTACAAATCGATTTGTAAGGCTTTTTTTTTCGCAAAAAAATGTTCGAACGCCCAAGATGGGCCCCCAAGGCGTGTACGAACGCCCGGAATCGAACATTAAAAAAAAAAAAAAAAAAAAAAATTTTGCACCGGACGCCCAACTCGGGCGCCCAAATGCAGCTTGCACGCCCAACTTGGGCGTGCACTGCATGAATAGACGTCCAAGATGGGCTTTTACGCGTTTTGGGGGTGTTTTTGGATTTTTTTGAGATGTTTTGAGGTTTTAGTGAAATAAAGTGTTTTTTTTGGGGGTTTTGTTAGAAACCGCAAATAGCAATTTTCAAACCGCAAAAAGCAATTCCCAAATAAATTGGTATTAATATATAACACACTAATATTAACAGTAACATTAACAGTATATAATATTACTTTGCTACTAAGTAATATAAGTGTGTTACTAACGATGGCTTCGACGAGAAAAAAAAAACGAAAAACTCAACACTGTTGACCGGCATTGACCACGGTCAAGAGCAAAAGGAATAATTTCTAAAAAGATAAAACATAATCGAGTTTAGGGTTAAAATTTGTGAGATTGTGGTTAAATTTGAGTTTACAATCATGAATTGAGTTTAAAGTGTTGGGAGTAATTTGACATAAATATCATGGTTGCATTTATTTACTTATGTACAAAAGAGAACAAATGGCTGAACTTAGATTAATAAACCTAAGTTGTTAGAGTTGAATGACCACCGCTCAACTAAAAGTTTAAGCTGTTAGCGAAATCTATTATTTAATATTAATATTGTCCATACGCCGCCCTCTTAAGTGCAGGCAGGGGCGGAGCCAGGACTAGAAAGTAGGGGGGGCTAAAAAAAATTTAAGTTCACAAGACATTAAAAAAAATAGGTTTATACTGCGAATTTTGAATTAAAATAATATATATATATATATATATATATATATATATATATATATAATATTATCATATTTCAAGCATGACAAAAAAATTTAAATTATTTTAATAATATATTGCTCTTAATGGGATTCATGGCACGTCTCGTATTATTTTTTAGAGACATTGATATAAAAAATCAAAGATCGATAAGTAAATATTCATAAATTTTATTTAAAATAGTACAAGTTTTAACCATTTTATTTTATATTTTTATATTAAATATGATATATATCTATAATTTATATAAAATTATGGAGAATAAACAAAAAAATTAAGGGTTAAGATACATATTTACAAAACCTTTGGGGGGCCAAAAGTAATATTCAAAAAATATTATCCCAAATTAGCAAAAACAAAAAAAATTCTTGGGGGGTCAACTGCCCCTCCTTGCTCCTTAGTAGTACCGCCCCTGAGTGCAGACGAATTATATTTAAAGTCTTACACTTAAATATTTAAAATTGGTGACGGTGGGATTTGAACTCATAACATTTCATTTGGCCTGACTCTAATACCACGTTGAATGATAACCTTACCCAAAAAGCTTTTAAGCGATATACATGTACATAATTGTCTTGAATTTCAAGTAAATATGTAAGAGAAATAAAATATTATTTAATTACAAAAGAACTATGGAATTGCCTTTCTTCGGGTCCAGATGATTCTTAAGTGGACCGGTCCGACGCAGGGGCAGAACCACCTTGTGATTTGGGGGCTTCCGCCCCTGCAGGAAAAAAGATTTGGTCATTTTTTAAATGTTTTTATTTTTATTTTATATTATTAATTATCTACTAATTTTGTTCTATAGTCCCCAAATAAAAATTTAAAAATATTATGTACGTACCTCGTGAATCATTAACAATGATCTGAGATCATGCTGTGCAGGTTCTGGTATTTCTATATATAATTCATAATGCAAGTTCTTTCTCAACTACCCATTTACTTTTATATGAATACTGAATAGTTGACTCCCCCCACCTTCAATTATTCTGTCTAATATAGTATCTTTCGCTCGTCTAATCTTTAATCCACTACTAGAAAAATAGGCTATTGTGACGGCCTAATGACACCCTAATGTGACAACAATTGAAATCCGTCTCAACAACTATTATATTGAGACGCTTTAATCTAGAAGCGCGGTACATTAATTCCGTGAATTTATTATTTCCTTTTCCGAATTATCAAAAATATATTTTATGACGTTTTCAAATAAATCGCCATAATATTACGCCACTAGCACACAAAATCGACCAAAATAATTTAGATTCATTCCCCGCTCAACAAAATATTATGCGGAAAAATTATAATAATAGCCCATCAGTTTTCTCTTTATTTTTTCCTAAACTTTTCATTCCATTTTTCCTCTTTTCCTGCCCTCCTCGTTTTCTCAGAACGGCGCTCAGCCGATGACTACCAAATGGATGCCCTATAATTCTCATATTTTTATACAACTACACCTTTTGCTTAATAGCCCCCTCGAGGTACAACTCGATTGTTACTGTTATGATTTTATTTTTGTGCTAGGTTTTAAATTGATGGATTTTAAATCCTTTAAGGTGGAAGAAAAGAAATTGAGTTGTGTTCTTATGATTCGTGGTGCCCCAAAATTAGGTATTATACATGTCTTTACTTATTACGAATTTATGATATTGTTTCAATTGTGATTTCATTTTTCTTATGAAGCCTCAGTGTGGAATCTTTATGTTTGCGTAAGGTATAATGTAAATGAATTTTTAGGTATTTTTTTCTTTGTTCAAAAAATCAATTCATAGTTTTGGACAAAAAATGAATAATTTTGCCTCTTAGTATTAGCTATAATGCGTAACATTGTGGAATAATCCATGCCCTTGCTTATGGCAGAATTCATGCTACAGGTTAAACGTTGAATAGAAAGAAGAAGACGAAGTTCAAGGACCTTTCGTACTCGGTGCATCGGAAAATGAGGATAGTGAGAACTGGCTCAGCTGCTTGAGCCGGCTAATGTTCTTGAGATTGCTAAGGTAAAATTTGTTGGTGTTCCAATTGAAAAAAAAATGATTTTTTATTTCATTTATGGATTTTGGTATAAACTGGATTAATTTTGTGCAAATTTGGTTTAAAAGAATGGTTGATTAGTTTTGTGTAGGTTATTTACATCGAGCAGGGTGATTTTGTAACAACGAGATCTGCCGAAGAATCCTGATTACTAGTATTTTATTTTTGATATTTGATTGCATTTTATTTGCCCTCTTTATATATAATAATGTTAGTGTTGTAACTGTTTCTCGGAATTTAAAGTGAATCAATTCTATTTTTGTTTCCGCGGCTTCAGTTCCTCGGTGTCGACTGGTACTTCAATGTATTGGTTTTATTGTTAGGACTTAGCTTTAGTTTATAATGTCACAGTAGAAATTGATTAGTGCATCTATTCTTTTTATCTAAGTATAAACTTAGTTCTACCCAAATGCCAACCCTAGCCCTTTCTCTATTTTTTGCAGTGCTCAATTAATTATTTCTCAAGATGTGGATGCTCTAAAGAACAACTGGTATGAGTTATCTCTCTTACATCCTTATATTTTAAAAACTAATAACACCCCTAGTGATATATACTCATGAACCTGTTTTATCTTCTATTTAGTGGTGTCCTTGTGGAGTATTGGTATAGCTAAAAATTAGTTGATTTACCTTATGTTGGTGCCACCGTTGTTGTATCTGACAAGGTATTGTACATATATAGTGTTTTGTAATTATTCACCAACTGTTGACGTAATTGTTATATGTTATTAACCAACTGTTGACGTAATTGTTATATGTACTGCTAACAGAAATACTTTTGAATAATAATATTTGTCCTTTGTTGGCTGCTGCACATTTAATACAGTTTATGGTGTCTCCTTACTGAGTAATAATACTTGACTTATAGTTTTTCTTGTTTGTGTTCTCTTTTCTGAATTATCAATATCTCCATATTTTAATTTACACTATTTTCAGGTGGAAACAAGGTTTGGTTCCTTTATCCAAACAAGAATGTCATGACTGAATCTGTTGAAGATATTATTGGTTGCTCCAATAATCTATGGAGCCAAGCATTATGGTAAAATGCCATTATCTTATGCTTTTAATATAAGGTTCTGTTTTGAAGTTGTTCAATTTGTGTGCTTTTGATCTAATGTTCTAATTTTTTTTTTGATTCCACCATATCATATGATAATTATTTTTTTTAGATTCTTTTTATTTGAACTTACTGATATTTGATAGTTTAAACAGGATACAGTTGATGCATAAAGGATATTAAAGATAGCTGGGTATGAGTTTTATTTATCAAGGCATACATTTGGATGCATTCAAAGTTGCTTTCAAGATTGGAGTATTAGTTTTACATTAGACCTTGTAAGGGGGAGATTATATATTACAGATGTTCAAGTACGCTTGTTATTCAGATATTTTTTGTTGTTTTCAACCATTGCAATGGGTAGCAGCAATTTGACTAACACTTTTTGACATGTTTGTATATAAATGTTTTTCTGGATTGTGTATGATTTAAAATTTAATGTTCATGAGCCTTAATAATTAGATGGCTTGTGTATAATGATATGAAACCCGTACAGACGCCATTATAATCATTCTAAAGAGCTCAAAGTGTCACATAAATAAACTTATTGAGACACTAGAAGGGTCATTATATGATATTTTATGACACCTATAAGTGTCATAAAAATAGGCAGTTACAGGAGTTGAAAATCAATAACGCGACGCCTATTGTCGTCACGACATATATATATTTGGGACGCCTAGCGGCGTCATAATAGTGCGTCTTTTGAGACGGCTCCGTCGTCACGATAAGTTATTATGACGGCCACCTACGTGACGCCTTGGCCGAGCGTCGCAATAGCCAAAGCGTCACAATAAGTTGATATCGTGACGCTTTAAGCCGTCACAATAGCCTATTTTTCTTGTAGTGATCTATAAATGCATCTTCTATTTCAACCAACAGTTTAGTTTTAACTATTAGATGACTCGCTAGTTTCAATTATTTGGGACAATTTGCTATAAGTCTTCCTATAGGTGATTATATGTGTATAAATTCAACTAATACATTTCAATTTTCAATTAACTAATTATTTATAGGGCTAATATTAAACACCCCTAGGTATCAAATAAACTAGATTACTCTCATATGCAATTTTCGGCCAAACCGTATTCAGCATTTCTGGTCCTGCATTTAGCATTTTCGCTGATTTATTTATTATTATTATTATTTTTTGTAAAATCAATATGTTTACTGTATTGAAAATAACTACAGGTAACTGTAGTAAACTATAGTTATTCGTAGTTATGTTCTTTTCTTTTTACCCCGTATTTTTAGTCGATCAATTATGTAAACACATGAATACTGACTTATACAAAAGAAATTCATAAACCCCAACAACAAACAATTACAAATTTCAATATTTGTATTATAAATCACCTCAAAACCAATAAAATACAAATCGAAAATACTACACAAAATATATGCATATGTAACTACATGTAACTGTAATAAACTACAGTCATTCGTAGTTATATTCTTTTTTTTTACCCCATATTTTTAGTCAATCAATTATCTACACACACGAATACTGGCTTATACAAACAAAATTCATAAACTCCAACAACAAAAAATTATGCCAAACTAATGCAGTCCCTAGTTAATCTAGCCGACCACGTTAATTCAACATAACCCTTTTCTACGGCTACCTTCATCACTATGTCAATTGAATTACAGCTTACTCTACCATAGCACTCCCCGCTAACACGGCTTACTGCACTATAGTAAAGGGCTACACATAATCCAACCGTTGGCAGAAGGAAAGAAATAACTCAAGAGATTGGGTTTTTCTTTATAGCTTGAAATGATTCTTAATTAAATTAAGAATGAGGGATTTTTATTAAAATGTTTTATCTCATCAGAAGGTTTTGGATTGGTCTATGTGATTCCTACATCTATGTTCTCTAAAGGTATATGGAAGCGCATATTGTCCTAAGAGGAACATACGACCTAATTTCATAATTAATTACAATAATTAATTATCGGGTTTTTCAAAATAATTATAGAACCTCAACTAGCATAAATCATTCAAATAATGTTGAGGTACTACTAATTAAGTTGAACTATAATCAATATTATATATGTGTTCTATTAATTGAAATCAATTTAACAATTTAAATCAATTTAATTAATCTAACACCTATTTACTAAAATAGATGATTGTCGATCCAATTATCTAATTGGGATTAATTGAAAATAATTTTCCAAAAATTAAAATCAATTTGTTTTAAGTTTAATTTTAGAAATCTGAAAAAAAAAAAAAAAAATTATTTTTTTTTTATTTTCAGTGGACCGGTTCGGCCCAACCGGTCTGACCGGTTCGGACCGAAGCGGTCCGGTTCTGCCCGGTCCAGCTGACCCAAATCAGTGGGCCGGGTCAGTCGGACCGAGAACCGGTCTGACCGACCCGAATCCACGTGGATTCGGTCAACTAGATCGCACACAACCATCGAACCGGCCGGTTCGACCGGTTCGATCCGAACATTTAAAAACCGACATTTTAAAACAATTTCAGATCCGGTTTTCCAATTTTAAACAATTTTAAAGCTGGAAAAATTCTAAACAATATTTCAAAAATATTTTAAACTTACGAAAACTCCCAATTACATAATACGACAATCACTACTTTAATAAATCGAACATGCATAAAATCATAGCATATAAATACGAACGCAATTAATTGCGCAACGAGCTCTGATACCACTGTTGGGTTTCGGGCACGCGTACGCAGCGGAAAACAAAAATTTTATGCGAATTAAACGAGTTTAAAACACATAAGTACATGCCCGACAAATTAAATCAATTAATTGCGTACCTTTGCGCTTCCAGCGAAATTAAACAACAACATACATGCTAATTATTTAACCGAATTTAAATCAATTAACATGCTCGCGTTTAAACCAAATAACATGCTCGCATTGATTTAAATCGATTACACATAATCACATAAAATCATACGAAACAAACATGAATACATATACATAGGTTTAAACGAAACTCAAATCGAAACTAGGGTTTCGCGTATTTACCTCTTGAAGCGTGAGGTAGGAGCGTTTAGCACGTCGAGATTGCTACGGAAACCAATCCGTACAATCGGGGCAGCAACGGTGCAGCAGCAGCGGCGGTGAGACAGCTCACGGCGGCGCGTGAGTTTCACGCGCGGACTTCCGGGGCGGCGCGTGGGGCAGCGTGCGGCTTCGGCTCGTGCGTTGCTCCTCGATTCTTCGATCTACAGTCTTCCTCCTCTCGGATTTCACCTCGTACACTTCGATCTACTAAATCGTGGCACTAGACACGAAGTAGTTAGAATAAAACGGGAGAAACGAAAAGAGGAAAGAATACCGTGAAGGGAACGGCCAATAGATGGCCGATTCCGGCAACGGAGAGGCGACGGCGGTGGCGCGGTGGTGGCCGCGGAAAGAGAGGCCGAGAGAGAGAGATGGGGACGGCCGCTTAGGGTTAGGGTTTTGGTGTGGTTGTGCAAGGCCTATAAATCATGTATTTATAGTCCCTTGCATAAAACCCTAGCGGGCTTAAGTTGGACCGGGCCCAACAGCTTAAGTCCGTTAGTACTTTCTCTTGCTCGTCTCTCTTAATTCAATGACCGAAAAATTGCAACGATTACATTTTCGGAATCATTATAATTCCCTCGTCATTACGAGTACCATCTTTCATTTTCCATCTTTCCAAAAGTGGAAACCCTAGTTCAGTGCACTTTCTAAATTTGGAAACTTCCCGATTTAGAAAGTTCACTAACACGTTCGCCTATTCTTTTCCTTTTCTTATTCTCATTCATAATTCCAAATTACGAATGTTGGACTCAATCATATTGACTTCCAATCATGCAAAGATAAACTACTTTATCTCTGACCGTTTATTCAAAGATCTCATGTGCATGAGCAGTGTGACCCTCGATGGTTCAGGTGTAAGCTAGCCGTGGGCCCATAACTCTTTGTGGTCAAAACTCGTCCCTTAGAGTTACGTGCCCATCGCACCTTTTTCAT